ATAATCAGCACATGCCTTGTTGGGCTGTAGTTTGCTTCCTTATTTTGGCTATTATGAATAATACTACAGTTAACCTAGGGTCTTATGTATTCTTTAGGTAAATACCCCCAAATAAATTAGTTGCATCATAATGGAGAGGTACTCTTAATTACTTAATTACATGAAAATCATCCCATAGACTTTTTCATAATGACTGTGTCAGATTTACATTCCCACAAGCAATTTACAAAGACTTCATAGCCTTTAGTTCCTGTTTTGCCAACACTGTTTCTGATCTTTTCCTTATCTGTTCAGACTGGTGTCAGGTGATCCTGCATTTGATTTGATTTACATTTTCCTACTGTTAAGCTCTAAAGAGTGTCTGTTTTAGTGTCTGACCATCCACATGCTTTGGGTGAAATACCTACTTAGATTCTCTTTAAGGGTTTAATAGAGTTGTCTTTGCTGCTGAATTTTAAGTTAATATTTGGGGCTATAGGAGAAGAGGAACTACAGCAAGATAGCACTGTAGCACTGTCCTCCCATTGTTCATTGATTTGCTCGAGTGGGCCCAGTAACTTCTTCATTGTTTGGCATATCAAATATGTCATGGGTAGCTTGCCAGGCTTGCCATGTAGGCGAGATACTCGGTAGCTTGCTGGGCTCTGAGAGGGGCAGAGGAATTGAACCCGGGTCTGCCAGGTCGGCCTTGTGCAAGACAAATGCCCTACCATTGCCTGCATGGCAAAGCCTGGCAAGCTACCCGTGACATGTTCGATATGCCAAACACAGTAACAAGTCTCACAATGGAGACATTACTGAGCCCGCCTTAGCAAATCGATGAACGGGAGGACAGGACAGGATATATTTGGGGCATTAGTTTCTTGTTGGATATGTGGGTTTTTTTCTGTTCTTCTAAATTTTTTTTGGATAAGGGGTTTTTAAGTATCTTCTCCCAGTTAGTTGCCTTTCTGTTTTGGCGATGATTTAAGTGTATTTTATGGTTTCAGGTCTTATATTTGGGTCTTTTGACTTTGAGTATATTTCTGTGTGTTGTGTATGATAGTGGTTGTTCATTCTTTTTGTGCTTTTGTCCTGTTTTCTAGCACTGCTTCTATCCTTTTTCCCCCCCATGAACTGAATTTGGTTCAGGCCACAAATCTAATCTCAGGGAGGTAGGAGCATATTTCACTTCACTATGTAAATGGGATTTTATGGGTAAGACAGGTCCTACTGTCAATAGCTTACAACTAGCAGCACTGACAGGGACATATAGATGGCTAGAATAGAATACATATGGTATAAGTTAGTAAGTTTAGTGTAGAAATCAAGATTATTTTATAATAGCATATAGTAAGGTTCAAAGAGTACAGCATTACTTATAGAAGATTTCGAAGACCCCCAGTGAGCCTTTGAAAGGTTTTGTTTTGTTTTTTAAACAGGCCCAATAGCAGATGAGAGATGGAGGATAGCAAAAGATAGAAAGTATTTTTAAGTGTCCTAAGGAACAAAATATTTGGGGGTGGGGTGGGGAGGAGAATCAAAACTCAAACTTTTAAATGGCCAGCTTAACTGTTTTGGGCAGCTGGACTGATTGTCTTACCACTACTTTTCTATTATCTGTTTCTGATAAATCACTCTCAATTTATGTCATATCATAAAAGAATGTCTTTTCTCCAGATTATCAGAATTCTACATATTCTATTTTTCTTTCTCTGCTCACTGCGGTTATACTCTGGGTTTTACTCTGGATTTTGAGTTTTGTTTTTGCCCAGACCTGTCACCTTCAGTGCTCGGTATTCATTCATGAAACTGTTTTCAGGTGTTCTCAGATCTTTAGGAAGTAGGGAAGTGTGCAGACACAGCAGCAGCCATCTCTATATGGCAGTGGTAGCTGAAATTTTCACAGAAATATCGCTCCATGTTCCCCAGCCACAGAGCAGGGGTTTGTCTTGCACCTGGATACCAACAATTAAAGAAAATGAAGTTGCTTTTGTAGTAAAATTAGGGGGACTAAAATTTCTTTTAAAAAGCTTATCCAGTTTATATGAAAAGGATTGAGTGAGGTATTTTATATTTTAGGTTAAAAATCTGTAAGTGCGCGATTTTTAGAATTCACCAGTGCCTCAAAAGTTTGGTGAAATATGATACATTTCTGTTTTATATTTTGGGATTCAAAAATGCATGTTTCAATATGATTAGAATAATGGCAGGTTACTACAGGAAGTTTGGGTATGTGCCACTTGCATATTATTGTGATAGGTGCTAAATAACTATTTTGGGGAAAGGACTTAAAAGTATGATTCATAAAATTTTAGAAGCGTTAAGTGTGCTATGAGAAGAGAATAGTATGCATAAGGAAAGGGGTAGGTTTAACCGATAGGCTGTGTCGAAGCTTACATTAGTGAAGCTTGGACTATTCAGTCAGCTTCTGTGTTGACTGTCAATCCTTATGACAAACCTGAAATAGATGCTACTATTATTTTAATATACTATTTTGCTGTTATATAATATTATTATCTGATTATTACACAATTTACTGTTATATGTTACGCATATTGTTTCCTATGAGGAAACTGAGGCCCAGAGAAGTTCAGTTTAATAATAGGCCTGGGATTTCTCATCTTTAATGAGCCAACAGGAACTTGAGTCTGAGCTGCTTCTGGAGTCTCTGTTTTGGCCTTAAGGAGAGGGATTGTAAGACGATTGGACCTACTGATTTTCAGAATGCACACAACTTTTTAATAAAGGAATAGCTTCAGTACAGTTGAAATTACTTCAGCTTTTGGGGCAGGAGGCAGGGAGATAGCTCAGGAGTCAGTCCTGTGGTCACCACCCCCCCCCCCCCCCCCCCACCAGTACTGTAAGACTCCTCCCTGCCCCAATAAGTGCTGAGTGTAGCCCTGAAAACCACAGAGTACTGCCAGGGTGACCTTGGTGATGCTCAAGTTGTTGGGTTCAAGTTGTTGGGTCCGTGGCCCAAGCACTGAAATGGCTGTCCTCGTTGACCAAGTATCGCCTGGCATGGCCAGTCCCCAGCTTCCCCTCCGCTTTGGAGGCAATGCTCCCCCATGTGTGACCTGAAGGCCCTTCCCCCCACCCAAAAAAAAAATCAAAATGGAACCACTTCTTGATTTTTATGTATGCTAGTTGTAAAGTTAGACTTGTTTGGATCTTTTAAATCCACGCACACTGTTAAATCTTATGAGAACCCAAGAGAGAAACGACTGTCACCACATTTTTTATTTCAGTAGCTTCCTATGACCTCAGGAAAGTTTTTTGATCATCAGGAGATTGAATAGTGTGGATCCATGTATATGCTATTTCTCCCCCACCCCCCACCCTTTCTATCCCTGGGCTCCACATTTTATGGATTCAGCCAACTATTAACGGGTCAGCATTCCTAACCCACCACTTTGTGATCAGAAAATTTGTGAAAATGAATTATTTCTTCCAGGCATTAAAGTCATTTGTTAGAAATCTAAATTCATAGACTGTACATATAGGTATGGGTTAAGAACTGATGTTTCAACCCTTTTATTAGGTTTTCTGATACCTTGCTATTTTATGTTGGGTTCTAGGTACACGTCCGCTTATTTGTCACTTTGGTGGGAGAATTTGGACTACACCTATTAGTGCTCAGAGTTTACTCCAGTCTCTGTGCTCTGGGGTTACTCCTGGTGGTCCTGAGGATTGGTATATATGGTGCCAGGGATCAGACCTGGGTTAGCTAGGCAAACACCTTAGCCTCTGTACTGTCTCCTCATCCCATTTGTTGTCACTTTGATGGTGTGAATTATTCAGAACCTTATTTCATCCTAATTTTCTCACATAATGCCCTTGGATATGCCGTTTGGTAGGGAAGTCATCAAGTAAAAAATTGCAGTGTGAACCTCGAACAATATAGGTTTAATCGAGTAATGTATTTCCATGTGTTCGTGACTTTTTTCCTCCTTTTCTATTCCTGGACTCCACATTTCATAGATTCTGCTGTTAATGGGTCAGCACTGTTCACTCCACCCTATTGAAGGTCAGCTGCAGTTGCACATCTGAAAACTGGCATTTCAGAAGTATGACTTTGCCACTGCTATGGTATGATTAGGATGCTGGATAAATTTCACCCCTGATAATCAGGAAAGTTCAGCTGATGCCAAGTAAGGGAGATGAGAAGACTGGATTGAGAGGAGAAAATGTTTTCTCTCACAAGCAATTGAGTGGCTTTATGGCTAAGAAAGTAGAATATACTCTTACAAAGTATCCAAGAGGTTAACCTATATAAATACAGAAAAAATGGTGCTCTGTGTGTGTGTGTGGGGGGGGAGTGCCGGGGAACAGACAGACGGACAGATAGACAATGGGAGTATTTGACTTCATTGAAAATCCTATACCTATTAGTTCTACTTAAAAACTATTGTCATAGTGGTTGGGGTCTTAATCCATACGCTAAATACTGGTTTACTATACATTGGTGAAGGGACAGTATTGGAACATTGTGTGATTGGAATCCAATCATGAACAGTTTTGTAACTATATCATGGTGATTCAATAAATATTGGTTTACTCATGTATATTTAAAGCACAAAGTTCTGTATAGTGAAACTAAAATAAAATGGGTACTGAGTAGGAAGTTATTGAATCTGGGTTTTGGTTCTAGTTTCAATAAATTTCAGAATCTTGGTCAAGTTAATTGATCACTCTAAGGTTGCTGCTTCTTTATTTATATTTTTTAATTTTTTAATTCATGCTATAGCATTGGCACTAATTAAGGTAGCGTTGTGAGACTCCAGCAAGATCCTGTTGACCGGGTACTTTGTATACTGCTCCATTAAAGTCAAGGGATCAGTGACACATCTTCTCAAGTGAAGGAAGAAAAAAGTGTGCTGGAAAACAGGTCCCTAAAGGCATTTCTGTAATAATTAGTCTTGATGAATGTTGCATTGACACCTAATTCAAAGCTTTGAAGATTATTTTTTGAACGGTGAATTGAAGTGTTCTAACTAAAGATTTGTTTAATTTATTAGAGTTATTAAACCTACGCTCAGATCAAGTTAGCAGCTATAGACTGGTGTGACAACCTGTTTTTAATCAGTGACTCAAAGCTGTGATCACCCTGATGTCACCGAATGGCCACAGCTTGTAAAAGGTAATTTTGACCGTTATTTTACAGCCTTTAAAAGGCTGTTGTTATCAAGTAAAATACGTGCTGTGAAATGAAAAAAATGTGTAGTTGTCATGAATACTGCTGAGAACCGTGGACCTAGGAGCTGACCTACTTGTCCTTTTAATCTTCTTCCTAATATTTGCTTTATTTCTCAGACCAGACCTATATATGAGTACACAGGAAGTATTTCTCAAAAATCCCAAGTTCTTAAATACTATATTGTAAAAATAGGAAAAGCATCTACATGTGCATCTAAAGTATGCCTTTTACATGGTAAATTTTTAACTAAACCCTTCTGAAGTATGTACAACCTGCAGGAGCTAGTAAACTTTTTATGATGGGTAGTGGCTTGCAGGCTGGAGAAACTGCATTCAGTGTTGTCCTTTTGAGTTTCCTAGCTCATGACTGTAGTATTCAGACTAAAGGATGTTTGTACTCAAAATTTTCTGGGGTTCAAGTCAGGACCTAAAATTGAGACCCCTTTTCATGGAATTTAAAATTGTTCTAAAATTTCTTATTTCAGTATTAAAATTTTCTTCTGATTTGTTATTCTGACAAACTCTAGGTTAACCTTTCAGTAGCTCCCCCATATTGCCCCCCTGCCCTTCAATTAAATTTGGTAAAATTCTGAGAATTTAATGGATTCTTATTTCTCAGTTCTTGGCAGTAAAGAATAAAGAAACTTATTTAGGCACTGCTCCCACCCAAAACTGGGTGTTCAATATTTTGTAATTAGAAGTTCTGAGTGTTTGAATCCTAATTTCAGGTAATTTTACGTAAATTATTTAGAATATTAGAGAAGTTGCTCATTTTAGTGTATAACTGAAATAATGAGCATTTTTATAATATTTGGTCGCATTTTGATACTCTTTTTAGGAAACACATTGAAAAGGGGGCATGTAGCTTCCATTTGATACATTTAACTTGAATCTTGCTTGTGGCTTATCTTTTGCAGTAGCATTTTTATTTTCTTGCCATTATATCTTCATTGCTCCCCCATACTTCTCGGTTAATTTTTCTGCCAATATTTTGAAAGCTTATAATCTGCCTCTTTTTGCTCAGTGACAGCAGGTTTACCTTTTTTTGTTTTTTGCATCCTGCTCTGACTCCTAGATGCAGCATGGCATGGGGTGCTGGGGATTGCATTTGGCAACCAAGTCAGCTCTACGTGGGGCTGTCACCAGTTTCCTGCTCTTCTTCATGTCTGAGAGAGAGACTTGAGGAAGCACTTGTGGGCTTCCCCACGGGGCCCTGGAAGCAGCTGTGTCGTAGTGGTGGCTCACTTGCTCCTTTGGGGGAGAGGCAGAGTGAAGTTGCTGCTTGTGTCTCACTGCCAACTTGCTGCCACCTCCACTCGACCTAATTCTTAGTTCTCATGCTTCTGCAAGTGAGCATGGAAGTGCATCTCTGAGAAGATTCTGAGGACTAAAATGTTCCCACATCCCATTTTTGTCCCAATGAAATGCAGTAAGGGATAATATCACATATCTGAGGAAATGAGTTTTTGAAGCTAAGATACATGGAAAGTACTTTTTAGTTTTTTTCTGGTGGCTCTTAAGCCTCTTAAAAATATTTTGTGTATTTTGAGAACACCATATTATTTTAAACACTTTACATTGCGTTGTAAAGTGCTAAAGTGAATAGAGTTAATTTATACAAATAAATATGGTAATAGAAATTAATTGTTTCAACATCAGGTATAGGCAACATTGATTCAAACCTCAAAGTGAAAAGTCTTCTTAGTGTTTAGAATTTAAGTACTTATACACAAGATAGTTATAGTATATTACAAAATAATAGAAAACAATCTGGCAGTTATTTATGACTGAAGTAACTTCACAGATTCTCCACAGCAAAATTTCATTATCTCCAGAATGGTCTATTTTGACAGGTAGTACATCCAGTACATCTTATTGCTAGTGTATTTTCATGGAAAAATGAATTTCATTGTCCAACCAAGATAATCATGATCAAAAGGTAAATCAGGCTTAAATTCACAAAGGCTATTATGCTGGTTTGAATTACCTAGAGTGTAGGTTTGCAGATTCATACATGCAGGATCTAGATCATCAATATTTCAGGCATTTTAGGCCGAGTGGTCTCTGTCATAGTTCTTCAGCTCTGCTCTGTAATATGAAGGCAGTCAAAGAAAGCACGTGACTACATTTATGTGGCTGTGCTCCTGGAAAGCTGTGACTTCACCAGGTCTCGGCACTTGTCCCAGGCGAGTTTGCTGGCCCAAGGTTGGGACTCTGAGCACTTTTGACATTTTGAATAGCCAATATTTGACTAGAACATTTCATAGTGGTATGATTTTGTTGTAAATGTTTGGTTTTGTGAATAATTTTGATTTATTATGCTAGTTTGTATGTTTGTATCTTTTATTTTTTAATTGGCCTCCAGAGGTCCAAGAGCCACTCCCAGAGGTACTCTGCCAACAAAGGCTTGAGGAAGTGGTGCTGGGAATTGAACCCCCCTACCTCCTGTCCTATCTTTTCTACCCACAACTGTTCCCTCCTTTTTTAAAAAAAGTTTTTTGAGTTATACCCAATAATGCTTGGGCTCTGCACTCTGGAACTATTCCTGGCATGCTCAGAGGACTATATGGGATGCTGAGGATTCAACCTGGGTCGGCTGCATGCAAGGCAAGCGCCCTCTTCGCTGTACTATTACTCCAGCCCCACCAGTTTGCATTTGTTAAAGGAAAAGTAGACACCAAGGGCTGGGGGGGGTGGACCAAATAAAAGAACATGTGTGAGGCCCTGAGTTCTGTTGCAAGTCCCACCTGTCCCTCTCTCCCTTCCCCTCCACCACCATTTGGCCACTTGGTGAATTTCTGGTGGGCCTGAGCACAACCACGCTTGGTGGTCTTGAGCACCTGAGTCAGGACCAAACCTTGGGGCTGATGGTAACAGGAAAGTGCATTTCCATTTCAGGCTTCCCCAAACCTCCCTCCTTAACCCCAAGCATCATGGGGTATAGCCTCTTTCAGTTAGGTCAGCCCTTATCCTTAGTGTGTTGTCTGCAGTTTGATCTGATGACTTTTTTGGGGGGGGATGGGGGGTTGGGGCCACACCTGGCAGTGCTCTCACTCCTGGTATTACTTGGTGGTACTTGAGGGACACAGGCTAGCTGTGTGCTAGTAAGCATCCTACCCGCTATACTGTCTCTCTAGCCCTAACCCTTTTATTTTTAAAGTGTGAAAATCTTCAGTTCTTTTAAATTTATCTCCTAAATGTTTGTTTACTTCTGTAACGTGGGATATTTTTCTGACTTTCCTCAATTGCATTTTACAGATCACCAGGAGAACCTCAGTCTGACGACATTGAAGCTAGCCGAATGTAAGTGGAAATTTTTTGAGGGTGTGGTGGCTTTGCTGTGTGGGATTTTTATGCTAACATCCTTAACCTGCCTTGTACCCTTTATCCCTTTCCTCCAGCGACTACCAGTTTGTATCTGTGATTGAGTTTGTTGGTTTGGATTTGACATTTCACATGTAAGCTTGAGAGATAGTATTTGTCTTTCTCTGATTTCATATAGCATAATTCCATCAATGTACATCCATTGTGTCACAAATTATGAACTGCATTCTTATTTATGACGTGTGTGTGTGTGTGTGTGTATGAGAGAGAGAGAGAAAGAGAGAGAGAGAGAGAGAGAGAGTCTGTGTCTCACTTTTTAAAAATTTATTCCTCTGTTCTGGACACTTAGATCATTTCCATATCTTGGCTATTATAAATAATGCTTCAGTGATTGTGGGGTTGCATATATGTCTTCAAATAAGTGTCTTCATTTTCTGTGGGTAAGTACCCAGAAGTGGAAATGCTGGGTAATAAAGTAGTGGAAGTTTTAATTTTTGAAGTACTTTCCATGCAGTTTTCCTCGTGACATTGCTCAGAAGTTTCCTTTTTCATATCTTTGTCAACACTTGTTATTTCTTTTCTGATAAGTCTAGTAAGTCTGAGGTGGTAACATCTGTGATTTTGATTACATTTCCCTGATTATTGATATGTATGTGGGCCATCTTTTCGTTTGTTGGCCATCTTTGGGAAGCTGTCTTTGGAAGAATATCCTGTGACCCTGCACATTTCAAATTACATTACTTGCTTTTTTGCTATTCAGTTGTGAAAGTTCTTTATAACTTGGGTATTGCCACTTACCAGATAAATGATGTGCAGTTCTTCTGTTCAATAGATAAAATCTCCATGTGGGATTTTTTTTTTTAGTTAGTGTTTGGGCCACACCTAGTAGTACTCAGGGCTTAATCCTTACTCTGTTCAGGAATCACTCCTGGTGGTGCTCAGGGGACTATTTGCGGTGCTGGAGATTGAACCGGGTTGGCTGCATGTAAGGCTAGTGCCCTACCCACTGTACTACCTCTCTAGCCCCATAATCTGCATGTATTTTGAGATTTTCTAGTGCTCAGTACTGGTGATTTCTCATTAGCTTTATAAGACTTGAAGGTAGATGTTATATGGGTTCTGCCCTTGTATTATGTCCAGTCAGGTTTTATCCCCATGACATGTGTTCTGTCTTGGTGAGTGCGTCCTGTGAGTCTGAACAGGATGTTTGATTCAGCTCCTGTTGAATGAAAAAGTAATTCACATGTTCATTATGTGCTGTTGTTTGATTTTGCTTGTAGAGTTCAGCTGTGTCCTTAGTGACATTTTGCTTCTTGATCTGCACATTTTTGACAAAGGGTGTTAAAGTCTCCAGTTAGTGGATTCATTTGTTTTTCTTGTTCTGTGACTTTTTGCCTCATGCAGTTTCACTTTCTTTTTTTTTTTTCCACACATTAAGACTGGTAAAGTCTTCTTGGAGAATTAACCCACTTACCATGGTTACAAACACCCTTTTTAACCCTGGTAATACATAATTTGCTCTTTTGAAACTCATGCTATTATTGTATTTGTTTGATTATTGTTAGCATTGTAGGTATATTATATTTTTACTTTCAATCTGTATGTCATCAGATTTGAAGTATAGACAACATATAATTGTCTTTTTTTTTTTTTTTTTTTTTTTTTTTTTTTTGCTTTTTGGGTCACACCTGGCAATGCACAGGGGTTACTCCTGGCTCTGCACTTAGGAGTCACTCCTGGTGGTGCTCAGGGGGACCATATGGGATGCTGGGAATCAAACCTGGGTCGGCCACATGCAAGGCAAATGCCTTACCCGCTGTGCTATCTCTCCAGCCGCAATTGTGTCTTTTTGTTACTGGTTTTTAAAGAGGAAAATGTTACATTCAGCATTTGCCCAACTTTATATGGTGGTATATGTTGACTTTATGAAATAGCTCTTGATTCTGGATTACTTATGAAGTATAATCTTGCTTATAGAAATAGTATCTTAATACTGCATTTTCAGAACACTTTAAAGCCCAGTCAGCATTTTTCCCCAAGAATATGGAAGGTTCTCCTTAAATCTGATTCAGTTTTATAAAGCAAAGTTCCATTTAAAAAATTTTATTATCTATATGGTGCATTCTTACATGCTTTTTGATCTTGATAAGTTCAGTGATAGAATATAAAAAACAAAACTTTATTTGTAAGCTAGACATTTTAAAGAAAATCCTTCAAGTGACAGGAAAGCAGTTTTTACTACACAAGCACTATTGCCCTAATGGGATGGCCAGGCCAGGCAAAAATAACTAAAGAACAACTTGTTATTTAGTCTTTGAGTGATTATTCTGGATTTATTACAAATTGAAAAATTTTAAATGCATTTTATTTTCTTCTGTAAAAATTCAGATAAGTATAGTTAAACAGATCTTGAAAGGACCATCGCTCTGGCTATCAGTCTTCTTTTTTTCTTTATTTTCTTTTTAATATTTATTTACTTATTTTGAGGTTGGGGGCACACTTGGTTATGCCCAAGGATTACTCCTGGCTCTGTACTTCAGAAATGAATCCTGGAAGGGCCAGGGACATCTTGGTATGGTGGGGCTCAAACCCCAGCCTGCTGCATACAAGGCAAGCATCCTACCTGCTGTGCTATCATTCTGACCCCTGACCATCTGTCTCTTAACTGCTTCATTTAGTTCATTAATGTTTCACTGCATCGTCTTTTTTTCTACCTTTTTTTCTTGTTGATAGCCTAGCGGTAGGGCATTTGCCTTGCCTGCGGCTGACCTGACCAACCCGGGTTCAGTTGCTCTGCCCTTCTCGGAGAGCCCTGCAAGCTACCGAGAGTATCTCGCCCACATGGCAAGGCCTGTCAAGCTACCGTGCTGTATTCCATATGCGAAACACAGTAACAAATCTTACAGTGGAGACTTTACTGGGCCCGCTGGAGCAAATCAGTGAACAACGGGAGGACAGTGCTACCTGTGCATTTAGGATGATTTTGTTTTCTCTCTATTGTTAGCTTTTAAATTACCCTTCTTGGGCTGGAGAGATAGCACAGGGGTAGGACGTTTGCTTTGCACGTGGCTGGCCCAGGTACGATTCCCAGCATCCCATATGATCCCCTGAACACCCCAGGAGTAACTCCTGAGTGCAGAGCCAGGAGTAACCCCTGTGCATCACCGGGTGTGACCCAAAAAGCAAAAAAAAAAAAAACAACAAAAAAACCAATAAAAAACCTTTTAAAAGTTTTGTGGTTGTCCTATACTTTGCTGTATGCTTTTATATTTAGTCTTGGTCCATTTTCAAATAGCACTGTCTAACTTGGGATTGTAAATACTTAAAAATGAAGCAAAATCTTAATTTCTACTTGATCTCACATCTGTATAAGCCTTACACAAGCACATTAAATGGACACCTAAATATCCATAATGTAGTTGTTGGTATTACTGTTTTGAAGTGACTTAGCTGTTAGATCAGTGAGAAAGATAAAAGTTTATTTTGCCTTTATTTGGTGATTTTTTTTTTTTTGGTAGAGTCAGATTTCTGATCTGAACTGTATTCCTTTTTTTCTTGAGAACTTTTAAGAGACATTTCTTTCAAGGCAGGTCTATGGACAGCAAATCAATCCCTTTTCTTACTACCCCAGAGTATTTTTGCCTTTATTTTTTGAAAGAATACTAACCCAGGGAACAAAACTCTAGGTTGGTGTCAGTTTTCTCTCAGTTCTTTCAGATGTTTCATTTGCTTTTTTGGTGTGATTTCTAGATGAGATGCAATTTTTGTAAGTAAGGTGCTTTTCATCTCCTGACTTTAGAATTAATTTTTGTGGTTGCTTGTTGCTGTAGTCATGTTGGTGTAGGGGCCCTTGGGGACTGTTGCTCTTTCTTGTCAGTGGTGCTAGTGTTCAAACCTCACATATGCAAAGCCACAGGTCTTCTAGTTTAGGGAATTGTAAAAATGCAGTTATCTGTAGATTTGTAATCAATGTGATTTCTCTTTGGCATGTATCCTTCCTAGATACCTGGTACTAATTTGGGGATATTTTCAGTAATTGTTTTGCATCGTCTATTCTCAGTTAGTTCTTGTATTTTTGTGTGTATATTGTGCTTTGTCATTTCCCCCATATTTCTTGGATGTTTTTAAATTTTTTTAAAGTCTTCTTTGCTTTCTCTATGCATAGTATCTGTTGATTTTTCTTCATGTTCAGATGTGTTCTCCTCATTTGTGTCCAGTTGATCCCTTTCTCTGCTCATTGATCTTTAGTTCTTGCATGCTCTGCATTCTTTCTAGAGCACATAATTTCATGGTTTTCACAGAGTTCTTTTAAATTCCTGATGCGATAGTTCAAACTTCTTGCTAAGTTTTTTAATTTTACTTTGTCTCTTCAGATAGTGTTTTTGGCTTTTATCTTGTAAGTTTGTGATAGGTGATTAATTTCATGGGTAAAAGAAATTTCTTTCAGTAAGCCTTTTATGAAGTAATGAAGTATAGGGGAGGGAAGATGTTCTCAGGCCTGTCTGGTAGATCTGTGTCCCTTGGTGAGCCTGCTCCTGTCTCTGGACTTCACAAATGGGTTTCGTCCTTTTCTCCACCTTGGTTTCGTCCTTTTCTCCACTGTGGTTGTATTACTCCTGGCGTGTGGCTCTGAGCTCAGGGATCACTCCTGGCATGCTCAGAGGAGCATATAGGAGACCTTGCATAAAACCCTGTTCGAGACAAATACCCTACCTGCTATGCTATCGCTCTGGCCCCATTGACTTGCCTCTCTTGAACCACCAGGAATTTGTCGGTTACAGTTTAGGTTTTCCTGGTTGTCCCAGATTTCATCTGGCAGTTCCCCTCTTGGAGACTGCGCCTTGATGCCCTTTATTGGCTTGTTTCTCATCTACCTTGTGTCTCTTTCTCCTTCCCCTCACAGACACAAGAAGAGTTGCCAATTGTAGTCTATTTCACGTTGTTGGTTGTGGGCTTGGGCAGTGACCTTTTGGCTTCCA